GCATCTCTAATTGAAATGCATCTCTAATCAAAATGCATCACTAATTGAAACACATCTCTAATCAAAATGCATCACTAATTGAAATGCATCTCTAATCAAAATGCATCACTAATTGAAATGCATCTCTAATTAAAATGCATCACTAAATAAAATGCATCTCTAATCAAAATGCATCACTAATTGAAACACATCTCTAATCAAAATGCATCACTAATTGAAATGCATCTCTAATCAAAATGCATCACTAATTGAAATGCATCTCTAATCAAAATGCATCACTAATTGAAACACATCTCTAATCAAAATGCATCATTAATTGAAATGCATCTCTAATCAAAATGCATCACTAATTGAAATGCATCTCTAATCAAAATGCATCACTAATTGAAATGCATCTCTAATTAAAATGCATCACTAAATAAAATGCATCTATAACCAAAATGCATCACTAATTGAAATGCATCTCTAATTAAAATGCATCACTAATTGAAATGCATCTCTAATCAAAATGCATCAGTAATTGAAAAACATCTCTAATCAAAATGCATCACTAATTGAAATGCATCTCTAATCAAAATGCATCACTAATTGAAATGCATCTCTAATCAAAATGCATCACTAATTGAAATGCATCTCTAATTAAAATGCATCACTAAATAAAATGCATCTATAACCAAAATGCATCACTAATTGAAATGCATCACTAATTGAAATGCATCTCTAATCAAAATGCATCACTAATTGAAATGCATCTCTAATTAAAGTGCATCACTAAATAAAATGCATCTATAACCAAAATGCATCACTAATTGAAATGCATCTCTAATTAAAATGCATCACTAATTGAAATGCATCTCTAATCAAAATGCATCTTTAATTGAAATGCATCTCTAATCAAAATGCATCACTAATTGAAATGCATCTCTAATCAAAATGCATCACTAATTGAAATGCATCTCTAATCAAAATGCATCTCTAACCAAAATGCATCACTAATTGAAACACATCTCTAATCAAAATGCATCACTAATTGAAATGCATCTCTAATCAAAATGCATCACTAATTGAAATGCATCTCTAATCAAAATGCATCACTAATTGAAATGCATCTCTAATCAAAATGCATCACTAATTGAAATGCATCTCTAATCAAAATGCATCACTAATTGAAATGCATCTCTAATCAAAATGCATCTCTAACCAAAATGCATCACTAATTGAAATGCATCTCTAATCAAAATGCATCACTAATTGAAACACAACTCTAATCAAAATGCATCACTAATTGAAATGCATCTATAATCAAAATGCATCACTAATTGAAATGCATCTCTTACCAAAATGCATCACTAATTGAAATGCATCTCTAATCAAAATGCATCACTAATTGAAATGCATCTCTAACCAAAATGCATCACTAATTGAAATGCATCTCTAATCAAAATGCATCACTAATTGCAACACATCTCTAATCAAAATGCATCTCTAATCAAAATGCATCACTAATTGAAATGCTTCTCTAATCAAAATGCATCACTAATTGAAATGCATCTCTAATCAAAATGCATCACTAATTGAAATGCATCTCTAATCAAAATGCATCTCTAATCAAAATGCATCACTAATTGAAATGCATCTCTATCCAAAATGCATCACTAATTGAAATGCATCTCTAATCAAAATGCATCACTAATTGCAACACATCTCTAATCAAAATGCATCACTAATTGAAATGCATCTCTAACCAAAATGCATCACTAATGAAACACATCTCTAATCAAAATGCATCACTAATTGAAA